CAGGACATTTTATGTGTGTGTGTGAAACGGGGACGCACACTCACAATAATTAAACAACTGTAGGTTGGGAATCTGAAACTCTGAAACCATCCGAGTTTTGCGAAATTGCCGACTGAAGACAACTGGGCAGGCATGCTGCCCTCTGCAGTGTCGCCCCTTTTCAACATTGGGTACTCAAGATCCCCAGAAATCTGTGGAAATATACATGTGTGTATATGTGTATATATATACAGAGAGAGAGATAGATAGATAGATAGATAGATAGATATTACATAACATGCACGTACAATATACATATATATATAAATATGTATAGTTCCATGGCCTGACTTCAGAAACACCATCTGGGCTCATCCCAAGTCATCCGAAAAATCTCAGCGAGTCACCATTGTAGTCTGTCAGGATCCGTCATGCCGGGACTGCCGGGCTGTCACTGTTCCGACGACCAAAACACCATTTGTGGTTTGGGGTTCCGATGGGGTTCCCATGGAGATCTGTGAGGTCCAGATGTGACCATGGAGATCTGTGGTAATTTCGGGGCGCGTTTCCTGTCGGAAGCAAAGGGTGCGTTTGGAAGTGCCTTGCTGGTTGAGTTTGGAGGTGCGGTAGCAATCGCCTAAGGAGTTGGCCTGAAACATCAGACTCATGATTTCAATTCAAACCGTCTTTGTTAGAGATGTTGGGGCAAAACATAGAAAAGCTGCCACATCCAAAATAGAACAGAAAATGGTGTCTAGGCTCATACTGCTCCTCAGTATTTTCTTCAACTGCGCCCCATCTGCAGTTCCTTGAGCCAAGGGAGCCGATTTTTTCTGGTGGAAAATCTCCATCCCATTCTCAAGGTCTACCCTGCTATGCTTGCAGCTGCTTCAAAGTGGGTGCCCAGTCACGGTCAATCTGGTTCTATCGGTCAACTTGGGTACCGCATGAAAATGGATAAATTTGATTTGCCTGAAGATCGGGTACCCAAAAATCATATTATCTTATATATAATAATCATTTTCCCATTAATCTGCGCAATTTTGGGGTTTTGGACAGAGCGGATAGATCACTACCAAAAACCGCCTGAGGCCAAGGATTCAGCAACAACACCGCATGTTTTTTCCGTGGGACAAAGCGGCGCGGTTCGCGATACGACTCTCGAGGCGTTCGCAGGGGACTGCCCAGGGCTGCAACATGTCAGCATAGATCATAAGAGGTTGAAACTTGAAGATAATCATCAACCATCATTAACCATTATATAACCAATATATTGATAGTATAATTCAACGGTATGTAATAGTCAAGCGGCAGGATTTTTCGGGAAGTCATCAAAGATCTTGACCCATGGGCGGATCCTTCAACTCCTGGGGTGTCCTCCGCGACTCGGAGAGAACTGCGTATCGCAGCTTCCAAGATGGTGAGGCCTGGTGCCATTTTTTTGTGATTCCATAGCTGCCATAGCTGCCATAGCTGCTGACGTTTTCGACTTTTCGACCATGCTTCGTCAGTGAATTAGTTCAGTTTAGCTTGATATGATTACAAAAGTGAATTATGTGGAGATTCTACCAACATCCCCAAAATACCACAAGGTGGGTCAATGAAGAGGTATATAGAAATATGTATGAATCACAAGTTTCCGCCTCTCTTATGGCAGTCACCTAGTTTCAAATGTGAATTTGTGATTTCTTCGCTTCTTCTTTTTTTCTTGGTCTTCTCTCTTTTTTGCTTTCCGTCTTTTTCCTTCTCCTCCCTTTCTTCCCTTCCTCTTTTCTCCCGTCGATGCCCTGCATCTGAAAACTTCATCAAACCGAAAACACCAGGCCTCTGCACCGCATCACACAACTGTCTGTCGGTTGGTTTGCTGCCCATTGAACATCCTTCTTCCATCATTTCTAGCTGCTACTAGCTCTGTGTTCAGGGGGGGAAGCCGCCATTGGATCTTTCTACTATGTGCATCACAGAAGTCGAAGATACTACGTCACTGGACAGCTGAGCCGGGCCACAAAGAACATACACACGTCCCATTTCCAAAGAGAGAACGTTCAACCCATCTCGTCTCATCCGCAGCTTCATCAAAGGTTTTTCTCAAAATGTGTGCAACACTATGTAGAAAACACACAGCAAGATGATCCTCCTCCTTCCCAAATATGAAACATCAGGACACTGTGACCAAACTTCACCGAACTCCTAACCAACTCAGAGTTTCTGCTTCAAAATCGCGGTGGCGCTCGACAGGCACCCAGATTGAACGCACTCTCAACAGACGTGAAGTTTTGCCTCGAAACACCACCTTTGCCCGCAGCATCCAATGAAGTTGTCGCTTTGGCGTTTCGGATGTGGCTTTTTATCAGGACCAACAAAAATGGGCTCGGTTCGGGCTTGGTTTTCTGTTGGAGCCGTCATTCAAGCCACTCAGGTAAAATGGAACGCCTAATGCATTCATATAACTTACTTACCATAGACTACCAGTGAAATATTCACGTTGCTTTTGGTGGGACATCTATACACACATACAATCATATAATTATATAGAGATAGATATGTATGTGTATATATATATATTATTTATACATATATATATTATTTATATTTATAAATATATTATTATTTATCTATATATATATATATATTAGGAAAATAATCTATGAGTGGGCAATTCTATTGCCAGCTTAGATCAGCAAAGAGTACCTCGCACCACATCCGCATTGCCACACGGCACCCGCACACTCAGTCGATCCGTTTTCTGGTGGTTCGCCGAAGCTTCAGCCGAACATATCCATCTGAGTGCAAGGGGGACTGGGGTGTCACAAATAATCATTGCGACTTCAGCATGATACTTGGGGGCAGCCCATCAATACTTTGGCAGACAACCATGGATGGATGGACGGACAAACAAATAGAGACATCTAGCTAGATAGATTGGATTGATGTACATATGTATTATATATGCATATATATATATCTATACAATAGACTTACGTAGGTAGACTAAATTTGGCATATCGGCATATCTCCACTTACTGGGATATGATATGATCCAGTCAGGGTTCCTGGGATGGCAGGGTTCCTGTGAGCTCTAGGCGAAACCCCCTGGAGAAAAGTCCAATTTGAGGCCCCGGGAGGGTGCGTGCAGAGCTAAGGTTCACACAAGGGAAACATCATGGGATCTTGAGATGATGCGCATTGCAAATTAGAGCCATAGTTCTGTCAGGAAAGCCATTTGGGATTCAGGTTCCACACTCAAGGAGCCCATCATTTTCTGGTTCATTTTCTTTGTCTTGTCATGTGGGTTGCGACAGAACATCAATAATCTTTGACCACAAGAAGCTGTTGCGACAGAAGCTTCTCAAAGGCTTGACACTGTGACCATCCAGATTGACCGACCTGTTTGACTCTTCTCAGTAAAACACTCCTTGAGATTCCATTGCTGCTGGGCGAGCCAATCAAACTATCCAAAACCAGCGAGGTTTTTGGATTCCTACTGAGCTCGGCACATCATCTGCAGCCTTGGCGGCATTTCGAACGGCACCTGCAGGGGAACGAGCTTCGCGAGTTCGGCAGGCTTCGTGCATTGATGGCCCCAGATCAGGCATTGATCGAAGAGCTTAATCAACCCATTTAGATGGTAAATGCACATCAGTGTCCAAAGTCTGCCAATAAACATGAGGTTACACCTGAGTAGATCACTTTCAATCTGGGAGTAACCCCATCTTGCACTGTGAGGAGGGCCCATTGGCCCATCACTGAGGAACCCCAAGAATAGAGACGAATGGGACTTATGGGACCCTACAGGCCCATTGTGACTCACCAAGAAGGGGCGACCAATCACTTTTTACAAACCAATACATGTACAGTAATGACAATGCCGCATTCATAAACCCCTTGGCTGTTTAGGTGGATACTATTCTAGCAGCAGATCGTCACTCTTTGAGGGCAAAAATCACTCTGATTCATCAAATCAGCCAGGGTTAGGATGGTCCCATAGACCTCGGTCTGTCCCAGCTGGCCTGCGTCCATGCCACCACCAGCATCACCTGGTGACACAACGGGGGGCAAAAAAGGTCTCGGGGGAAGGCGTACGGTTTCCAAACACGCCTGGCTTCAGCAAACCACATGGATTTCTGGGGGTGTTGGATGTGCCCTGGCATCATAAGTTCATGAATATTTATGACTTATGACCCATATCACTAAGTGTGGATTACCAACTTACTAACTGGGATGCACACCCAAGTAGGGATGGTTCTTAAGGGGACGCGAGTTGTACAATAGTTTTTGATGGGGATATGTTGGTTTCATGTTGTGATAGCCAGGCGTGCCCAAGAACAGCACGCACTCAGTGCTCATAAGCTGCCTTGCAAACCTGTCTACGAAAAGGATCTGTCTAAGCATCTTACAAACAGTTTGGGACCCCACGAAATGGTTTCAATAGAGAACTTACAACCAGGTATGACAGGTAATAGCATAGACGGATGCATGATTGTGACGTCTGGCGGTACACGGCCTAAGTAACGGACAGCTGGTGACAGGCGAACATCTATTGATACCCAAGTTGAAATGATTCAACACAATAATATTATATAATGATGTCTACTGGTGATGACCATAGTGATGCCGATGCCACTGCAATCCTGTCTTGTTCAAAATCCAATCCAATGACTTGTGCTGAAATTCTATCAAGTGCCCTCACCACACAGCCCACGCTGTGAAACGTCAGCTCCCCAAAAAGGGACGAAAACGGCTCTGTACAGGTCAAGTTTTTCTGGGCACCCATAACCATCATGATCTCTGTATATCTCTGTCCTAGCAGATCCAAGTGTCGATAGTGAACCACCTGGATTCAACGTTGATAGAGTCCCCAGCGCGTTTGAAAAAGCAGCCGCGAAGAAGCTGATGTGCCAGCCAATGCATGGGGACTCGTGGGGTTCATGGCTCAATTTGAGCCTTGCTTGAAACCAAACCCAAAACATCCCAAAACCCTAGGTGATCCTAGGTCCTAGGTGATCCTAGGTGTATATGAGGCCAACTTCTACAAGCAAAAGGAACCAGGCAGAACTTGAAACCGCAGGGACTACCTGTTACCTTGGGGTTACCGGTTGCCAGGAGGCCAGGACCTAGCGGACCTAGCGCCGGCACAACTGTGCGCCTGTGCCACGGTGCGGGCCTGTCTTGCTCGTGTACTTGGCAGCACTCTTGTCAGCCCAACCTGTGGGCGTGGGCGGGCAGGCCACGGGTGATCTGTTGAACCTGTGAAACTAGCCACGAGCAAACACGTACCAAAATGTCAAAAGCCGATAGCTGTACCAACATGTAGTATGCTGAATTTCAAGTGAATGTGTATGGCAGAAATGCGTATTATGAATTATGATCATCAGAGACATGTGGCATGTGGATCTGGGAGACAAAGTGGATTTGGGGATGCGGTTTGCTTACAGCTCGGGTCATTGCGGACCATGCCCTCTGTGGCTCACATTTGAAAGGAAAGAAAGCAGCGCCAATGACTGTTCCAACTTAGCTATCTACTATCTACCTAGCTGCTTTCTTTGGAGGAACCACGTCCCACATCGCTTTTCCATGTTATTTCCACTCTATCTTGACTGACTCTTGTAGAGTAATTCTTCAAAACCTGCTTCATTTCTCGCAAAACTGCAAGTCCAAAGTATTGTCTTTGGCACTGCCAAACAAAACACAAGCTTGGGTTCAAAGAGATTTTTCGGGAACTTCCCCCTCTTTTTCTGCAGATCTATGGGGCTTCCTTTGACCTTCTAAGGAGGGAAGTTGACCCAAGTAAATCTCCCATCCCACAACGTCAGGTGCTGTCAGCTGGTGCTTCCCACCAAATTGGACCACCATCACCGTCAGGTTGTCCTCGCTACCGCCTGCCCGGTTCGAAGACGGAACAAAATCAAGCTCCCTCCCCTTCCAAAGGACTTGGGAGAAACCATCAAGAGTAGTTACCGCCTCGAAAAAGTTGGCTTGTGGATCCCTGGTGAGAAAGTGTCCAACAACAAACCCTCAAAATCCTAAGTCGCTATCTGTAGCTTGCCCAGGCTGCAACTGCTCAGATTAATGGACAGTTGGGGCCACAAAGACTGCGCACTAAGCTGTTCACAAAGCGTTCGAAGTGCGGCAGAGACTTGAACCGACTTGAACCATGTGCAACAACGAACAGCAGGACAGCAGCGACTTGGCGCGTTTCCCAGCGACAAAAACCGTGGTTTGAATCCCAAGTCTGTGAACTTAATCCTGTTCCCCAAAGCCAATTGAGCTATTGAGCTAGGGTAGAAATCCACCCACGACTTGGAATTGTCCTTGTGGCGGGGAATAATCATGGGGCATGAAGAACCAAAAAAAAATCAATTCCATTGCAGATGTAATGTGTTTTTCAGTGTGTGGGAGACTTTGCCAGCTGACCAAACACAATTTTTCGATGCTGAGTTTTCCTTGGGTGCCCGAAGACCCGAGTATCAAATTGTGGATGACTGGCAATATTCCATCTGACATGGTACACCCAAATATATGGAGTCTACCCCGGAATACAGGTTGGTTCATTCCTTCCTGTTCAATCATGAAAACAACGCAAAAAAAAAGAAAGTGCTGCTTGTAGCAATACAATCCTTGTCTGATATTCCTTTCCATCTTGAGCTTTAAGGGAAAAAGCAAAATCTACAGTAAGTGAGGGAAAAATCGTCACCAGACTAGATTTGCAGCTGGATGAAATCCCGTTTTTCATTAGGTTAAAGAGTTGAACCCTTGATAAAGACAAAAGCAACTCAGCTTCCGGACGTTTGTAGGCGGATCGCACAATGTTCTTGGCAGCTTCTTCTGGCTCTCGCCAGTGCCTCATGGCTTTTCGGCTCTTCCCAGCTATGTGAAGCAGGAAACTCGCAGAAAACTCCATTCAGAAATCTGAAAAAAATACCAAGAAGTGCCCAATTTATTCTGTTGATAGCATGTCAATTCTTGATGTTCCCAAGGTTGGGTTGGCAAATATCTTTGTTTTACTGGCAGTTGGTATTATCATCATCACCACCAATCCCTTGCGCTTGGCTCATGCCCATTGCTGTTGGTTCTATCTCAAACTGGTGATCATTGGCTGTAGTCTTGGTTATGCCAAACATCTGTCCAAATATTGTGTGATTCTGTTTCTTTTGTGACTATATGTGGTTATATTTGATTGTCTATAGTCTATATGACATTCTCTGTATATATATATATATAATACTATAGAATACCTCTTTTTCTTGGAGATTCTCCCCTTTTCTCAGCAACCCCAACTGCCACCCTCGTCTCCCTGGGCTCCCCTGGCCGCATGGCCAAGTCAATCACTTCCTGACAGCTGTCCATGTGGGTTTGTCTGAAAAAACACAATAGGATACCTCAAGTCCCACGGTTGATCATTTGGCAGTGTGTCAAAACCTTGTACCCCTGGTGAACATCAAAATAGCTGGTAAATGGATGTTCATCCCACTAAAAATGTATCTATAGGTATTGACCCATACCCATTTCCCTATTCACCTTGCTGAACAACTCCAGCTTCAACCCACCGGGCAGCCGTGAAAGGGACCTGGTTGCTGAGCACATCGAACACGCCGTCCGTGCCCAGAACCATAAAGAGATCCTGCACATTTCACTCTTTGGGGCACATGTTTGGTGCCGCTTTCAGATCCTGTCCGTGAGCACCTGTGCAAGTCTCTTCTGAAGGCTGGAATCACCAATGAATGTAGATGTTCCATCATGTTCCATCAACATATACAGTATATTATTATTACATATATATATTACATATATATATAATGTATATTGAAACTGGTGATTCTGGCATTTTTTTTGGTCACATACATCCATGTTCACTGGTGGTTTTGTCAGATTCCATTTCGGGAGGGGCTATCAATGGCCGATCTATGGGTACCAAATTGGATACCCAACAACTGTGATGGTTTCCTGCTAAGAGCGACCTGTCCATCAGTGGTTCCCAGAGCCCTGAACTTTGACCCATTGTAGGTTGTTGTCGCTTCAAACCTCCATTGCATTTCCGAACTGTTTGGGAGTCAATGGCTACTGAAAATGTCGTTTGGGTTTTTGCGACCGTTCAATCATGTTCAATCCACATTTTGGGATTTGGCAAACCCCAAATGGTTGCTTTCTTGAGGAGAACGGACCCTGCAGGCCCTGCATCTCTATTTTTCCACCACGAATTGGTCATCATCACCTCGACTTCTCCGGGACCGGGACCATGGCCCATGGCGGTGGCGATCCAGGTCCTTGGCGGGTTATGTGGCAGTGGATGTCTGTTCTACTGGTTTTCCTGTTTGAAAAATGAGGATTTCAGCTACCTCCCGGAAAGCCATTTCGGACCAGATCTTTTTTCACTTTCGATTTGAAAATATGAAATTTCACAAGATCTGTGGGCACAAATAGTTGGGAAACGACTACAACCAAATCCACACTGCCAGAATCTTCACCTGGAAACCAACAATTTGGGCCCACAAACCCACAGGTGCCCAAGTTTGAGACAACTGACGTCAGCGGTTCGTTGAAGTCACCTCCTTGTCTTCCTCGCTGCACCAGAATGTATACCTCCAGAAATGCACGAAAGCCTTGAAAGCACCAATTTTCGTCTATTCCGGTGCGTCATTGGCAGGCCCATCTCCATCCTGACAGGCTCGACTGCGCCCACACTGCATGACAACCAAGACAATGTGTGTGTGTGCGTGTGCGTCAATATCGTCAATGAGAAACAAAGATTTGCCTCCAGGACGTGGGCTCTCTTTTGTCCAAGTTTTTTTTCGTCTCTGGCCCCTCTTTTTTCTCTTGTCACTTCTCTGATTTTCTCTCTTCTCTTCTCTTTCCTCTCTTCTCTTGTCTCTGTTGTTTCCCTTTCTCACCTCTACTTGCTTCTTTGTTGTTTCTATATCGCAAACAAGTTTGCATACAACGGAAGAATTCGACGAACTAACCCATCATTCCATTTACCTTTCTTTTTTACCCCTTCATTATTTGGCATTTTTGCTGCCAATCCTCTGTCATAGACACATGTACTGTGCCGGTTGATATGCAGGGCCCTTTCACTTTTTCAGTGAGCTGCTGTGGCACATTGCATTCATTGGGTTTCTTGTTAAATTGTTCCAGCCTGAAAACTTTGGGCATCCAGGGCAGAATTGGAATTTAAAGAAAAGAATCGAACAGTTGACCGCGCATGGAAAAGCGGTTGAAACGCAAAAGCAACTTTCTTGATTCAGCAGTTCAAGACCACATCTACGGGCAAAAAGTGGTAATGGTGTAAGATGATGTTAAGCGGTGATTAGGTGAAGCAATTATGTGAAGTGTGAGCTAGAGTTCACCCGTAACTCAGAGTTTTTCTTCGAAACTTCATGTAAAAGTTTAAAAAGTAAACTGTTCCTACGCGTAGTGCAAACCTGCTATTTATGAGCTTTTTTAAAACCACCAAAATCAAACAATGTGCACTTGCAACCCCTTAGTTCATGTTTTTTTCGACAAAAAGTTGCTGAACACATTTGCCAATCCCAACCTCCACGCCAGCCTCATGTGAGAATTCTGCCGGCTCTTGATCTGCAGGTTGTTTTGGCTCCTGTGACGAGTGCCCTGGTGTGACATCCTCGCCATCCTCGCCATCCTCTGGTCTCGGCTCCGGCGCGGCCTCCGCAGCCTCTGCGGCCTCCGTGGCCTCTGCGGCCTCCGCGGCCTCTGTGGCCTCCGTGGCCTCTGCGGCCTCCGCGGCCTCCGTGGCCTCCATGGCCTCCGTGGGCTCCTGTGCTTCGGGGTCCTCCCCAGGACCAGCCGGGTCAACCGGGACCGGATCAACCTGAACCGCTGCATGCGAAGCTTGCGAAGCTTGCGAAGCTTGGGAAGGCCACCCGCACTCCACCTGCACCATGGCGTCCTGTAACCAGTGCATTGGATCCACCTGAACTGCCGCATGACGCAGCCGCTGATCCGAGTTCCTGAGCGAGGTGCAGTTTTTCAGCGGCTGCAGTGGGGTGATGTGTTGACCATCCACAGTGATGAATCACCAAGACTCTGTACAGATTGAAGTACCAAATATGATCCCCAATCAGCAACCATCAATTTCATAATAATTAGCCCCATCAACATAGTCACCTGGCCTGTGCTCAGTCGGTTCTCACCCCCCCGTTGGTCGATTGCCCCATCATCTAAGGTGACCATCCGCTTTGAATTGCAAACATGCTTGAAACTGAGGCCGAAAAGGAAGCTTGAGTCGGTTCCTTCCCTTTGGGTGGTTTCACCATCTCCAACTCATGGGTGAATCACCGACCAATCGCCCCCTTTTTCCCCGACTGTTCCTTTTATGAAAATATTCCCACTTGCTTAACCCAGATTTCTTGGTCAAACTGCCCCAGTTTCTGACTTCAGAACCCATAAAAATACACTTAAATATGGATTGAATCTTCCCATTCCCACTCTCTGGCATCTTTTGTTGACTTTTGGGTTATATAGTCCGGAGGCCTCATTGAAGTCCCTTTAAGTCCCATCCCCATCCCATAGATAAATAGTGGAAAGTATATAGTTTTCATGTCTATATCCATCTATATCCACATCCATCAGTATTACATCTCCCAAAAAATATTACATTGGTGCAATTGGGGAATGATGAACGAATGAATGATGAATGGGGCATGATTCCATGATGAATTACCCATCTATATACTACAGTGACTACAGTCCAGTCTCCCCATCCCCATCCCATCGCTCCCAGCATCGGAAGTCCAGGTCTCCGCCGCTCCTGGTCCCGCAGGCGCTCGATGAGTTGCCCCAGCTCCACCGCGTGGTCGTGGCGCTCGCGCTGGAGCAACGCCTTCAGCTCCTGCGACCAGGGACGGTGGATGGTGGCGGTTGGTGAGGGAAAAAGGTGAGAAAAAAAGTGGGAAAAGCATGGAAAAGCTGATTTGAACTGGACAAATGCATAGAAATGGTGATTTGATATGGGTTTTATTGGTGGATTTTGGGAATGTTTTTTACGGAGTTTCATGGTGGTTGAATGGATTTTGTTCTGGTGGCTTCATGGTGGCGTTTTTTCTGGATCAATGTTGGAGAAAATCTTTAAATGATTGCCACCAGAATGGCATCATAAAGGATGTCAAACAGCGGGTTGAAGGAACTCTAGTGCAAATGTCAGACAACAACTCTTGGGCAATTGGCTTTGAGGGTAAGAAAGGATGTCAGAACCATATCCCAGCTTTGAAGGTGGATTTCAACATCTTTGACCCATCCCCACCCCAAAAAGATGGTTTAAAGGATCAGCCTCTTCCCAATCCCCAATAGTCAAACAAAGATAAACAAAGAGCTACTTTGGCTTTTGACCAGTCCCCAATGATCCAAAAAGATTTCACATGACTTGTTCCACCCGTTTCCTCATTTTGTCCATTAAAGAATGGCCACTCCAAAATGGTCACTGTATGGTCACTGTTTCAGACTGTTTCTGTTCCAAACTTGGAACTGGATCAATGGGATCTGTGGGATCCACTCCTCACAGCTGCTGCGAAGTTCTTCTAACTCCACACCTTCCTCCGGCACGGTGAGCGGTTGCGAGGCGCTACCCTCGTCCCAGCTGCTGGCGCCTCGGTGATGAGAGATGATGTGCCCAGAATTTTCAACTATAGCCATTTTTTTGGTGGGTCGACTGTTGTGGCTATTGGAAATGGTATTTTTCCGGATCTCATTCAATGGAAATCGAAAATGTATGCTTCTGTTTGGTATTCTTATTCTTAGCCCAGAAGAAAAAACAGAAGCCTCACATTAGTGGTGTGGCTTCTCTCCTTTCTTCCAGATCGAAGACTCCCCAAGTCTTCACCTCAGCTTGCAACGGCCAAGCCACGTTCTTCCGCAGCGACCTTGGCCTGCAGTACTGCTGGGGCCGTCCACATCAGTAGCATGGCAGTGTAGTAGGCCGCCACGATGCTCACAGCCATGCGCTGCATGCCGGACAGTTCCGAGTCCTTGGGACGACATGCGATGAGGTCGTTTTGTGGGGCAGATGAGGGGGAATGGAACTCCCAAGAATGAAGAATCTGGGTAAATTATAATATTTCACTAACCTGAAATAAGGCCATTTTGGGATGATTCCCCTTACTAACCATGATTCCAGTGAGGTCGTTATAATTTACCCAGAAGAACATATATCCGCAGACGATGATAAATTTATGGGAGTGCAACCGACAACTAGGAGTGCTTTGGTAGTCGCATGAATTGTCTCAAAACCACGGTACTGTGTCGTTTTGAGGACTAAACCTTCTCCGGTACTCCAATGGATGGCTAGTTTACCAAGAGCTGTTGGGCTGCAACTAGTAACAGCAACTGAAAGGAGTAATACTGTCAATGCAAGGAGATGAGACAAAGTACTGGCAAAATCATCTATGTGTAATGGCTTTCCCTATCAAACAGGCTTCCCTATAAGTATTTGTGATAATTGTTGTTTACCAATTAGATTTGTCCACTACGCTTGGTAACCGTTGATTAAAACATAGTTGCTCAAGTGATAACGGAACTGCACAGGATGAAAGGGACCGAAAGCAAAAGCGAAACTGACGAAACCTCAAAGTTGCACCCCAAAAGGATGGCTGATCAAAAGATGCCACCAATATTCATTCAGGTCCCAATTTTAAACATCAAAATTCAATAGAACGGCGTTTTTCCCATGGCAGGGCACCAGCACCATGCCTCCCAGTGTACAGGCAAAGGCCAGAAAGGAGCACTGCAGCAATGGCACTGCCAGCTCCTGTTCAAAGGCATCGAAGACGTTGTCGGCGATCTGCAGGCGACAGCAGGGACAGGCCACAGCCAGCCACACGATGAAACTGATGGTGCGAAGCCACACTTGCGCGGCAATCACCTGCAACACTGATCTAAGCAAACAATGATGTCCAAACAAAAGAATGGCTAGTTCAACCACTCAACCTCGATTTTCGCAAGCATCCCAAAAAAACAACAAAACAAAACAGACTCCACACACTCTACAAGTGGCAGAAGCTGTGAAAGGTAGCATCAACAAGGCTCCCAAGATCTTCAGGGGTCCCTGCAGCAGGGCTTCCCTTGAGCCCCAGCCCGTGCAGAGCCACTGTACCAGCTGCCCGGGTAAACTTCTGCGCGGCTCCAGGGCTGCTAACCCTGCGGCCGAATAGGCCACGAAGGACAACACGATGAACAACCTGGGTTGAATTGGATTGCTTATTTCTAAGAGAGCTTTTTTCGGGGCTTCATTTTGTGAAACAAAGATGATGTTGTTGGAGAGGGCATGGCAGCACACAGTTTCGAAGCAAGAAACATCAGCACCGTGGTATCGTCATCAATCAGTAGGAGCACATGTAGGGCCAGCCACATCGCAGCTCCACTGACGATGAAACAGATCCGTCCCAGGAAGAGTTTGGTGCCAGACTTCCCCCCAGCCAGTTCCAGCAGCACGCGGCGACACACCAAACTTCGATGCAACGTCCGGGAGCGGCCACTGCCTGGAGATCCAAAAAGTCGGATTGGTGGAGGAATATTAATGTTATGCAATTATATGTTCTAGTTCTTTGTATGTACCCAATTGACTTTGGGACAGGAAACGAAAAGATTGGCCTGGAGCAATTAAGCGGGCAAGTGACCCTGTTGCGTCAGCAAGTCATATGCTCCACAAAAGGTAAAGGCAATGGCATGATACAGCAAGACAACCTCGCTCTGCCGGGAATCAAGGCTAAGTTTTTTCCGTTAACCTTTTGAAAAGAACCCAGAAACATCCTGAGCAAAATCCAGGAATTCGCCACATTGCATCCCCCCCAAAACAAAACTTCTGCCATTTGTAGTGCAACATCAAGGGAACCAAGGAACACAAGGCAGGTAGTGTCCACTATCAATCCCTTTCAGAAAGGGCACGTTTGCCAGGTCCACCAGTTGCGCTACAAAGACGCCTACGAAGATACAATCCCAGACTGCTGCACGAATCAAGGCAGCATAGAGTTGTGGCATCTTAGGCACCAATCCTTGGTGAAGGACGGTGAACGACTCGATGTGGCCGGTCAACACCCGACAATTTGGGGGGAACACGGGGAACACTAAGAAAGTACATGGGGACAAAGTGAAGTGGGTAATGTTAAATCTATGTATAATGATCATATAAATTATAACCAAAGAATGGAACTAAGGAGTACACGGTAATTCTGGCGGTGTGGGCACATAGTTAGGAAAGCAGAAAGCCAGATTCTATCTATCTGTATCTAATCCAATCAAAATCCAATCCAATCAAAATCCAATCCAATCCAATTATCCATCCATCCATCCATCCATCCATCGATCCATCCATCCATCCATCCATCCATCGATCCATCGATCCATCGATCCATGTGCGTGATGACAAGAAACAAAATAACTTTGGGCCTATGTTTCTTGACTTCTTATCCATAACCCTTGGTGTATCGACGTATCTCTGCTTGTTACATCTTGTTACATGGCTTTGTGTAACATGGTCAACCCCTTTGGGGGCTCTTTACTACCCGCAGTGTAACATGGGGTAAATTGGGGGCTGGTTCTATCTCCCTTTCTTGTAAAGTAACCTCGGTTGATCGGTGGGTAATCCTCACAAATAATGATTGCATCATCTTGCATCCAAATATGTATATATATAATATATATATATATATATTGACATTTATTCATAGTAAATCCCTCATTGATGGTTTAAAAAAATGAGCCAATGATTCTGGTGTAGGTGATCTCCACTCCCAGCGCCAGTGTGGCAGCAGCAGAGTACACAAAGAATCGGTAGGGCCATCGTTCCACGGCGCGCGGAGCGCCGGCATCGCCGCCGGCAGCGAGGAACGACATGGGCACTGCACTGCTTCAAAAGATATATGCAGGTTCCCTGTGCTGTTAAACTCAATGGAGTCCACATATCCCAAGATGGTCTTCAGTTATCTACGGAATCGACGGAATCTACGGCATTTCTTGAGGATTTGGAAATCTGTTCTGGTTGTGAACCAAACCCTGCAGTCTTGCATACGTCTATCACCGCATGGACCCATGCTCTCTGGTTTCCAGTTTCCAGCATGCGATGACCCTGCGACGTTTGTTCATACATTGTCTAAATGCACCTGATTCTCCCGATTGGCACACTGACCCTGAAAAAATGCAATCCCACGCAACTCCTTGTCAGAGAGTGAAATCACCTGCACTTCAGGCTCCGCAATGGCAAGTCCAATGGGCCGCTTAAAGTGCCTCAGGCTGAGCAGTGGCTGCCAAAGTCCCAGTAGTTGCTGCGACAGTGCAACGACAATCACAGTTGCTGCTGTTTTCCCACTGGGCTCCCATGGCATGTCTCCAAACGATCTTGTCATGGCCAGGCCCTGGCGGTTCAACCAATGTTCCAAGCATCACGTGTTGGTCAAGCCGAATCGGGTAAACTTGGCTAAACCACACCTGGGTAGTGGGTTGCAACCTTTCACACTAGTGGTCCAAGTTGATGTTTTTGGCAAGTTTGCAAAGTGTATCAACATTTATCAAACACGGTCAACGCAAAAAACTCTAACGTCGCCATCCCCCAACCACCCTCCCAAAAGCCTGGTATTCTCTTCTGGCAGCTTTGTTCATGGAGTTGGGGTTTGTGGAGGTCGCCACGCGCCAGGCGCCGCGTACCTGCGACCGAACTGGAGCCTGCAAACAAGGTGTCTTATTTGTGAGCCAAGGATGGGGGTGTAACCGTCAAAAATGGGAATACAACATGATATAACCAACGAAAATGGTGATTTAAGCGCCAAAATGCTTTTCCCCCACTTTGGCCCAAAGGCTCAGATGGTTCATATGTTGTCGTTCTAGTCTAGATTCATCAAGCCAGCATGAGGAATAGCTCAGGCGGCATGGACTATATACGCATACATTGGAGCCATATGAGCCATCCATGCAGCACTAGAATTGAGCACAAATGCAGCTTTGCAAGCAGCTTGAGCCATGCAAATGTTCAACCTAACTTCCGCCGTGTTCGCGCCTAAAGCCATTTTTAAACTGCGGAAATGGCACAAACAGATCCAGTTCAGCCAGTCGCCTGCAACACAAGACCTCCAACTCGCTCAATGCGTTTCCTCCTGTCGTGGATGGAGCATCCATGGGTCTTGGGTCGTTTGACGAGAAGTTTCAACCAAATGGGGTTCCCCTGGCTGCTAAGGAGAACACTCACCTGAAGAAAAATCCTAGTTTTCCCTATCCAAATCAGGTCTGAATCTATTTCCGCCCCTTGAGACTCCAGACTCGTCCATCCGTGTGGGCTTGTGATCCTCTGACACAGGCACAGCTGTGCCTGCTCGGCCTCGGTGCCCGGCAGGTTCCACCATGGGATTCCCAGTCACTTTTTGATCATTTTGAAACAGTTTCCAGCCATCGCCGTGGTGAAATCCACCTGGCCGTGCCAAGTGACACAGCACTGCCCTCGAGTCGCCAAGGTTGGAAACCACCTGAGACTGCCGAGAATGCAGCGTTTGAAGCGGACAATGAACGGACAATTGATGGGTGGTCAAAGGAGAAGTGGTGGAGAATTCATGGATAATTAGTGGATGATTAGTGAACTTATGTGAACTTCACTTGATTGAGACCTCTTTCTTTTTGATTTGCCCAAGTTTGAGGTTTCAGCAGCCAAACTGTGACGCGCACTTAGTGCATAAGTTCTGTGACCTTTCCTAACTGCATGAATGTCAGAGAAAACATCACACCTGCGGCACTCCACATGCAGAGCGCGTCTCAAGCTAAGACCCATAGTCTAAAGCAGACAAGACCTAACAAAATCATCTGTGCATGTTTGAACATATGTGTACAAAATACATGATCCATACATATGTTGCTGTGGCTCCCTGCCAGGCGGAGGGCTGTACCCAGTTTCCTTGGAGACAAAACTCAGAGGAGTTGCACGTGGATTCATCAGAGATGTTTTGACTATCGAAATTCACGGTAGCCAAGTCCGACTTGGACTTAAGTGAAATTGGCCGGCAAAAAAGGGGGAAAAAAACTGTATCAAGAGCAGCAATGGAAGCTCAAAGTGTATAGGTCAAAGCAAGGCACGGATTGCCATGGAGGATCACTGACACCTCGGGCAGCAAAGGGCAGCAACAAGTGGCCCCTACCAGTCACTACCAGATATAGATAGATATCTAATTATATATACATATAATGTATAGATATATATATATAATGTATGTATCTATAAATATATATATATAATACATTATTATACGTATGTATATATGATATATGTGTACATATATAGTTATACGAGATATATACATGGCATTGCGGCATTGAAACTATACCATACCTGGCCATACCTCTAGAGTAGCTTTGAGCAAACCGGAGTTTATTGCGGTGGCAATTGAAACTGGCAGAAGTTCCACGACTGAGCGGCCACTTTTTCCTGCTGGCGTCCGGCAGGGAATTGTCTCATGACATGGGCTGAGGCAAGCGAACAATCTTTGTCTTCCGAGAGCACGGGCAGGCGATGAAGCAGGTATTGTTTTGAAATTTTCAGGTGCCCAATTTTCAGACAAATCCATACGTATCTGAACCTGCCCAGAAAGCGGGGGAACAATGATCCAGCGCACAGCCTGCTCCAGACCAGCCAATGGTTTCCACGTCAGGCACAACCAAAAGGTTGAGAGAACCAAATCAATGATTTCAATAGATTTGATGTGACCAATGCTGCGCCAGCTGTTTGAATTTGCACAGAGGAGCAGCTGGATGCTGGAATAAAGAAACTCAAAGGACAACAAAGGGGCTGAGCTCAGGGGCTGCTGTCTGAATTAATATCGAGGTCTCCTCTCATTGTTTCCCGAGACCACTTCTGATAGGTTTGCAACAGCGCCCGCAGCAGCCCACGATCTTCCAAGGGTACACAGTACACCTAAGACTCCTAGAAGAAGAAAATTGGTTCAGGGATCTCTGAACCAAGGTTCCATTTCCAGGAGCCTTAGATGTACTCGTCAGCACTATGCCAGGTTTGAGCCTGCACTTCCAGGCTCTCATCTGATCACATCAGTCTCCAATCAGCGCACAACGCTGCCCATCCTTTGTCAAAATCCGCCAGATGTGTTTGCCATCAATCTCAATGTCAGTGAGAATTGAAAAAATCGTCCCTTCCCAGAGGCCAGCAGAGAAAAGTCGAAAATTTGTAGTTTAATCATTTCCCATCATCAACCCCCCAGCGTCCCACTCCAGAGCAGCACCACGTAGTGAGGCGCCTTTTGCACTTCTCCCTGGCGCTCAGTCTTTGAAGGAGCCGCCCGTGCCAGGTCGGCCGCTCCGCCGCAGACACTGCCAAATTTAGAAGAGTTTGAAAACTCTGACTAACCATGACTAAACTAAACCATCCAGCAGACAAACGTCACCTGCACCCAATTCACTCTCGCCACGAAATTCTTTTTCAGAGATGTGAGATGTGCAGCTTTGCCGCGCATTCTCCCAGGCACATGCGAAGAACAGCATAGCCGCAATATTCATTGATGTTCATTGCGTGTCCCAGTCGCACGACATCATTGACAAAGTGGATGGCAACTCCATTGCGGTGCGCCATCAGGTCCTGGGCCAAAGCGTCACGTCACGCTTTGGCCCAGGACCTGATGGCCCAAGGCAGAACTGAGATTATCTTCGGGTAACCATTCTTTTTCAGAGATGTGAGATGTGCAGCTTTGCCGCGCATTCTCCCAGGCACATGCGAAGAACAGCATAGACGCAATATTCATTGATGTTCATTGCGTGTCCCAGTCGCACGACATCATTGACAAAGTGGATGGCAACTCCATTGCGGTGCGCCATCAGGTCCTGGGACCAAAGCGTCAGTCACGCTTGGCCCAGGACCTGATGGCCCAACGCAGAACTGAGATTATCCTCGGGTAGCCATTCTTTTTCAGAGATGTGAGATGTGCAGCTTTGCCGCGCATTCTCCCAGGCACATGCGAAGAACAGCATAGCCGCAATATTCATTGATGTTCATTGCGTGTCCCAGTCGCACGACATCATTGACAAAGTGGATGGCAACTCCATTGCGGTGCGCCATCAGGTCCGGGACCAAAGCGTCAGTCACGCTGTGGCCCAGGACCTGATGGTCCAAGGCAGAACTGAGATTATCCTCGGGTAACCATTCTTTTTCAGAGATGTGAGATGTGCAGCTTTGCCGCGCATTCTCCCAGGCACATGCGAAGAACAGCATAGCCGCAATATTCATTGATGTTCATTGCGTGTCCCAGTCGCACGACATCATTGACAAAGTGGATGGCAACTCCATTGCGGTGCGCCATCAGGTCCGGGACCAAAGCGTCAGTCACGCTGTGGCCCAGGACCTGATGGTCCAACGCAGAACTGAGATTATCCTCGGGTAACCATTCTTTTTCAGAGATGTGAGATGTGCAGCTTTGCCGCGCATTCTCCCAGGCACATGCAAAGAACAGCATAGCCGCAATATTCATTGATGTTCATTGCGTGTCCCAGTCGCACGACATCATTGACAAAGTGGATGGCAACTCCATTGCGGTGCGCCATCAGGTCCGGGACCAAAGCGTCAGTCACGCTGTGGCCCAGGACCTGATGGTCCAACGCAGAACTGAGATTATCCTCGGGTAACCATTCTTTTTCAGAGATGTGAGATGTGCAGCTTTGCCGCGCATTCTCCCAGGCACATGCGAAGAACAGCATAGCCGCAATATTCATTGATGTTCATTGCGTGTCCCAGTCGCACGACATCATTGACAAAGTGGATGGCAACTCCATTGCGGTGCGCCATCAGGTCCGGGACCAAAGCGTCAGTCACGCTGTGGCCCAGGACCTGATGGTCCAACGCAGAACTGAGATTATCCTCGGGTAACCATTCTTTTTCAGAGATGTGAGATGTGCAGCTTTGCCGCGCATTCTCCCAGGCACATGCGAAGAACAGCACAGCCGCAATATTCATTGATGTTCATTGCGTGTCCCAGTCGCACGACATCATTGACAAAGTGGATGGCAACTCCATTGCGGTGCGCCATCAGGTCCGGGACCAAAGCGTCAGTCACGCTGTGGCCCAGGACCTGATGGTCCAACGCAGAACTGAGATTATCCTCGGGTAACCAAGCATATCTGGCTAGGAAACCCTGTTCCTTTCCTGGGCAATGCATCAATCAAGCGATGTACCCAAAGGATTAATCAGTTGCACTGTAGGCCCTTAGCAAGCCTGAGTCGTTGTCATTGGCTGAGGTGACTCGGGAGCTGGGATCCAGGTAGTAGGTGCTGCGCCATGCTGCGCCAGCGGGAGATCAAATCTGCCAAAGGAGTGGAGTCCCCGACGTGGATTCCAATCCTTTGACAGATTTCTCCTTGGTACCTGGGCGGATGTGGGCAAGAACCAGGGAGCCTCAAAAAAAATTAAAGTTATGAATCTAAGCACTTGTTTGTGGTTGGATGAAACATGACAAAACTGGATGGCTATGACTCAACCAAGAATCGCCAAGATCTTTGCAGGTTTGAAGGGTAATCTTGACCCAAGACCACCTGCCATGTAGTGTCGCTTTCGCCGCGTCAGAGTCATCTCCCCAACGTCGTAGAGGTGTCATGATCATTCTTTCGCCAGGGTTCCACCATCTTCCCAGCCGCAACATCCCCGTAACAGAAGGCCTGAAAGTGTTGCCTTGTGATCAATCTCACCTCGAAGCGTTCCGGCAAATTGCAAAGGTCTCAGTTCCCATGATGGCCATCCCATCCTCCTTGAGACTGACAGCAGCTTCAGGGGAACGGAGTGACGGAGTGACAGCCACTTCTGGCAAGCGGCTCATGGAGATGGGGTGCAGAAAACAAATGAAGCCATTGGAAATGAGGGATCCATGACCCAGATCATGACCCTCTAAAACCATCTGGTTCAACCTACAAAATGTTGATCATGTTGGCATCATATCATCCCAACCTCAGGGCTGGAGAATCGTTAGAAATGTGTTAGAAACATTCAGAAACCACCAATCACCAAGCAGTCATCCTAAAGCCTGGCCAAGAAACGCAGGTGGAGCCCACCAGCTCAAACCTCAGGAGACCAGACAAACAGATAACCAGCCATGATTTGGAGAGAAGATAAACCATGTTTACTGAAGGGTAGTCCTGGGGATGTCACCAGGATTTCTAGAACAATGGGAGGCCCAAAAATCACGCCATTGGTGATGGGCTCGATCTTCATCCCACCAGGCCGAGACGCTTCTTGCGCTCCGATAAGGCCAAGATCTCCTTGTCCGTTTGCAAGAAGGCCTGGCGCGTCATGGGATACCAATGGATACCATGTCAGTTTTCCGCAGTTATGGCATATGCCCAGGTGATCCCAGGTGTATGGCTTGTTACACCCAAACTTCTTCGCCAAATTGGAAAATTATTTGAGCTTCTTCTGTTAATTACATACTTTCTCTTAGCTATATATACTATATACCAACTTTGGGTAGATTCCCCGCTGATTGGGAGCAAACAACAATCCTGTCCTTTTGCTTCCCTCTGTCATAATAGCAATTGCTGCTTGGCTGGTTGAGCCACCCATCTCATTTCCAGCCATATGGCTATCGGTTGAAACCCCCGGTACACACTGATAGAGTAGTTCTTGATGTTCATCCCCCCAAGATGATATAATGCGGTAGACCCAATACTCAACCATCCCCAAATTCCCCAAATGCTAGGCTTATTATAAGCTTATTGAGTTTATCACATTGCTAATGGATCCATCTCCATATCTTTGAGGCCTCTTTGATGGCGGTCTTGATCTTCTCGTCGCGAGAAGCAGGTTGGACCTTCATCGCTGGGAAGTTGAGGAATGGCGTCCCCTTCATGAATCTACGGTTGAAACTTTGAAACCATATTTTTACCCCCAAAGTGGTTGGGGGTTCCTGTCTAGGATTCCCATCCGAGTTTGGCAAAGCTTGACCCGAAAAGATCGCTTTGTGGTGATCCCAAGCAGTATCTCAAGATGTCTGAAGTGAGATCTGCCCAACAATGTCGGTTGAAGTTTGGCCCACACCCGTTCATCCTCCAATAAAAAGGTCATTTGGTCATGTTTGCCAAACAATATTAAAATAGTGGTGCCCAAATCAAAAAATATATAGAGACCTAGAGATCCATACCCAAACGACGGAGAGAATCGGCTAAAGCCTTAAAACTTGCGAGTTCGAACTGCAAAAACGTTCCAGGAACGACATAGTTGGGGTTTCAGCCACTAGTTTTCAGGGCATCGTTGTTGCTCATGCTAGCCCTGCTAGCCGTGCTAGCATCGGTTGATTTCCAATCCAAAGAACTCCATGGTTGATCAAGTTCCTCATTTTTCTGGCATCCCCTAGCTATCATAGCCATTTTGCAAATGGCAACTAAAGATCATGCCCCTGTGCCTGTCGCTGCCGCATCTGTTGAAGAACATTCCTTACCGCCACTGGAATCGGATCAGGATGCCAAGGAACCCGGAAGTCATCGTCGTCTTGAAATGGACATCTTCAAAGATAGGGCATATTCCTTAACCATCCCCATAGAATAGTAACACACATTTCCGGGTAGTATGACACGAACAAATTTGGGAAGCCAGAAGATTTCTTGTTCCATGATTGATGCAACATGCCATGTTGGGATTGGGGCACCCCTTGGGGCACCCTTGGGGCACCCACCAAATCTACAGGGGATCCGCTGGATGGGACTGTACAATCCGCTACTCAAATGGCATGGCTCCTCACAACTTTGGCGTCAACGACCCTAGGGTCCCTAGGTCCTAGGTTCAAAAATTTCAGTGGCTCAGCTAGGCTTTTTTCTGGCACTGGGCAAAGTTTTTAGACAGGAAAAAGAGATTGGGCTCAATTTCAGTATCAACCCAGCCAGTTTGATATTGGTTTGATTCTTATGTTTGATGCTCCATGATGCCCCATCCCCGCTCTTTGTTGCTCAACTCCCCGATGGCCAAATTTGGCAGAGTTGCTTATGGAGCTTCTCCTTTGCCATATCAGCCACCTGCAAAGAAAACGGCAGGGATCTTCGGACATCCAAGCAGCAAGAAATCGAGGTGCAGCTCTTCAATTCTGCTAGGGGACATGTAAAACTTGGATGATGCTGGGCATAAAACCTGATTTTCCAATATCTTCCATCAATCACTTCTGGCACCTTTCATTTTTTTACTGGCACAGTAGAACTTGTCGTGTTCCAGCTGGTTCTGGCAGATTCGCACCTGCGTTCCGCCGTGGCCGTCGAGGACAGCAAAGTAGACGCCCAGTTCCTGGCGGGTGAAAACCAAAGTCGATGGCTTCAAATACCAAAATGTAGATATATATGTATATATATATTATGTGTATATATATATATTATATGTATGTATAATATATATATATATGTATATTGGTAAACATGCTTGAACTTTCTGAACCATTCGCAAAAAAAGAAAAAAAACAACCCACTCAGCAAATGAGCGAAAGCTCGGAGGGCTTTCGCAAAACCTGGATCTCCCCTTTGGGGATGGACGAATGGAGCGTTGTTTCCTCCAACCCCATCAGCCTCCAGCGGCTCGTCCAAAACATAGCGATCCTGCAAGGTCTTCTTCAGGCCGGGCCTGCGAGCGCTGCTTCCAAGCAGCTGTGGATAGGATGATAACTGGTCCAAATGTAGGGCATGATGATCATGATGCATACAAAACTAAGGGAAAGAAAAGTTATCTTTGCAGCTGGCGATATCATTTTAGGGTGATGATAAATAGATTGAATGGTGACCCAAACGACAAACGGGGTGATTCTAAATGGGATATAATCATAGCTCGTGTAAATGGTGTGTGCTTCATACCTACCGCAGAATTGGTATCACTGGGGTTCGACCTACCCATAGCTGAGGGTTTGCCCCAAATTGCTCCAACCGCTTAAAGGACAAGCTGTGGCTGCCCTTTTAAGGGGTGTTTCACCAGGGCCAAGCGCACCAGCTTTCACAGTGGACACGAAGCCCCAGAGACTCCGCAGAGACGTGGTAGCTCTTCTTCTTCTCCTGGTGCCAGGCTTGTCATCGCTGCTGCTTGGTATGGCCATGAATCGACAAATCACTGGAGATAAGCAGTGAATGCCCAGTGAATGCCACTGAAGATTGGCAATATTGACGTGAAGGAGCAGAATACTTCCGAATACACCAACAAGTCCACTTATGATCGATCGACCTACCATCCCATCAAAGGGCAACCGCCATCACCGCCATCACTGATGATAGTATCATGATAGTCATTTTGCCGTAAATGGCAGGTGCAGATCCTCCAAGCTTCTTTTGCAAATGCTTTTCCTACTGGTCCTACTTTGGGAAGAGGTATCATGACAACCATTTGAGAGCACAAAGTGAGGCATCCTACACACACAACATCACACAACTTCTCAGAAATCTCACTCAAAATGTGTGCATTGGGATAGCGACCCTGCTCATGACCCCACTGGCTACTGGCTTCCTGGGTTCCTGCGATGGCAACGTCGCTTTGGGGCAAAACTTTAAGGACCCCCACCTACCCCCCACAAAAGGGCTGGCATTTCCCCTTCGAACTGTCCCAAAGGGCTTTGCCTGTTTTTATTTGGTGTATTCAATGTTTTGACTATGATTTATGTGATAGTCCAATCACCAGTCGTACTGGTTGCATGGTTCCCATCCGTCTGATTTGGACCTAAGAACATAAACATCTGGGTTTGTCCAAAACTGGTGGATACCCAAGAAAAAAACATGTTTCTTGCTGAAATCCCCCGTTGCCTCCAAGGTTTGCGCTCCCGCATGAATGGGCAAGGGCTTGCCATCGGCCCCTAAGAGATCACGGGATACCCGGATTCGGTGCTTAGTAATTAACCAATATTTCCCCACTATCCCATAGGATCCATGTATGCTATATATGGTAACATTTACCATCAATATACCCCCAATGTTAGCATATATACCATACATGATATACATGGATCCTATGGGTATGGGATGCCCATACCTGGGAATGCAATGGGTTTCAAAATGGGATTGTCCAAGGGGATTCTATTGCAATCTTCATCCTATCATGGGTGCGACTTTCTATAGCCAAGGTATTTCGGTGGTCCCGTCGTATCTATTGTCCTGGCAATGCTTGACTCTTCACACTTTGGGGGTGCTTTCTTTTTGACCCTTAGCTGCTAGTTACGTCACTTCCACTCCGACCTTTCCTTCACCATGAGATACCAAAACATGGGAAATGAGGGGTCAAACGATACAGCTCACAAACATCAATTTTTGAAAAAAAAAAAACCTTGTTCTTTCCTCAGCAACAAAATGGATATCCCAAAATAGGGGTCAAACGCCTGCCGCTCAACCCTGAAATCCTAGTCTGAGACATCGGTTAAATGATGATAACCGAGACTGTCATGCAGCATCTAAGCCCCCGAGCCCAGCATGAGCACCTCAAGAGCACACGGCTTGCTGTCCTGCGTGCCCTGCTTGTAGCTCACCTGCCACATGGAGGGCATGCAGCGGGAAAAATGGCGAAACGGCGAAACCCACCACACCTTCACACCCTCCTTGAGGTTGATGGGGTTGCTGGGAGTGCTGCCCACGATGAACTTCCGGTGCACAAAGAGGCCTGCAGTTCCATATCCAACTTCCCATTTTTGTAGCTTGAGTTCCATCCTTTTTGCATGGTCATCTGGACATGTGTCCATTTGCAACAGCATACCATTCCATACATCCACATTATTGGATGGTTCATCTACATACGTTTCCAAGCGTTTGTGGTGTCATTCCCTTTTTGTTTCGCTGCATCCCAATTTTCAGATCGATCATTTACCCCCTTGGGGCTCCTTTACATCTGTACAAATTTGGATCTGGTTACGAATCGTTTCAAACAGATTCTCTTGACCTCCCAAGTGGGGACCAGTTGTGGATGGTGCAAAAAAACCTCCAACTCCATCGGATCATCGGATCATCCGATCCGCGCCTTTGCCCATGTCACCGCCCTCCTCCTTCCCCGCAGGCATGATGAAGCCAAAGCCCTCGCGATGAACCACAAAATTTAGCCATGGTCAAAGCATGGCATATGGGGTGTACGGTCATCTATCCCATGATGGGAATCATTCTAAAAGGGAAATTACATTATTTTTAATCCCTATTGATGACATTGATGACCATCCCGCAAGATGGGTACACGAATCCAACTTTTGACCATGGCACATGTGTGCATCACCTTCTCGGACAGTATGATGGGCCAGTTGTCCAAAATATGGGGAAATCAAACAGCCAGCTCTTGGGCACGCATCAAACATTAGGATGTCACCACCAAATGATGAAAGAAACGTGTCCAAAAATGGGGGGGAATGTGGCCCCAATTCACAATCTTTTAAGGAAAATATGCTGACAAACCCTGGATTTGGGTAAACCTACCTGATATGCAACGGATGGAAACTTATGCAACAGTTTTTTGCTGGAGCCAGCAAATACCTGGACATGGATAGGGACCATCAAACCATGGGGCGGCGATCAGCAACCGCAAGAATGGTGCTACATCAGCAAAAATTGGCTTTCAACCAAGAGAGATCCACACTCAAGAATATAGGACTTACAGCACCAAACAAGAATGGGTATACAAGGTGGGGATTCAAGCAACCAAAATGTGGAAAATATCAGCAGAATATGCAACTGAGCGCCTTCCAAATGACTGTGCGTGAATTACCGACATGAAATGGTTCGTGAAACCACATATATCCCATTCCTATAAGTTTCTTGTTTTTTTTGTATTTCACCAAACGATTTGTCAAAACGAACAATACTTGCGGCTCCCAGGCCGAGCCGATCTCCAATCTCCGCCACAAATGTGTTGGCTGTCGACAGTGGGGGGCTGGCTCTTCGCTGCGGGCCTTCTCAGAGTCCCACTTGTTGACTCGCCCCTCCATCCGCGCATCCTGCGTAACTTACGGGTCTACGGTCTACGGAAATATCACAAGTATATATGTCATACATGCAATATAATATGTATATATATATATACATTTATCTTATATAGATAGATATTAAACATGTATATTCATAGAAGACACATATTTATAAATATCTGCAATATTTTTACATGTATAATATGCTATTATATCCGCTGCCCCTGCAACAGCAAGGGGGAACGTGTACAGGAAGAAGAGTTTGCAAAACACCACAACCACAACAACAAGGATTCGTGGCCAACCATCTCCAGGGACATGATGAAGAGAAATGGGAATACCACCTACAGTATGAGTTCTGGTCTATGATTGCCCCATCTTCAACCATCAATCAAATCTACACTATCCACACACCATGCGACCCAAAAAAAAATACGAATTTCCAGCCCTAAACTCATCTTCTAACCCTGATGTTTCTGCATTTGAATCTATACCCAGCTCAGATGGGTCCCCATCCATGGGTGCTGGGGCAGCTGGCCTCCTCCTTCTCAGGTTCTTTGGGTGGAGGCTCTGCCACCGTGGGCGCCGGAAGCGGCCCTGTGGGCGCCTCGGACTCCTGGCGATCAAGGCACTTTGGATCCCTGCCATGGGGGGAGTCCTCATGACCTTGGAGTCCCAAGGTAGTGACTCTAGTGACTAGCTGACGTTGAGGACTAGCGTTCTTTAAATTGAAAGGTCCCAAAGTCTTCCTCACGTGCCAATCAGCAGATGTTCAATGCAGGACCGAGGACCCTGCCTGGGCAGCTTGGCCGTCCACCTCAAACTTCACGAATTCCGTCTTGGAGATGGCTTTCCTCATTTCTTCGGACCTCACCAAACAGGAAAATCTGGCCCAAGAATCACTGATGTTCCACACCTTTGAGAAGCATCCATTTTTGGGGAAGAGTTGAGCTTCAAAGTTTTGATCTGAAAACCAAATTCGGAGGGGCCAGATTTCTGCCTTTGGCAAGGGCCCTTTCCAGCAACTGTGCCCCGCGCTGCTTCATCTTCTTAACAAGCGGATCCTCGGTCGAACACAGTTGGACATTACAAACTACCAGAGGCGTAAAAAGGCTGCAAATAGCGAAGATCTTACGTATGTAAGTTTTTTGGTAAGCAAAACGTCATGACAAACAATTTGTCGGCTGATGCAATCGGAATCACCCTTTCTGAGAAAAGCATTGTAATATGCATTCAATGTTCCTACAGTTTCAGGCTCCAAAATGAAGATAAATCGCAGCAGCCTATGTCTTTGGACCTAGGCAGCTTTAAAACATTGCTTAAAACCTTCCACCTCGTTTGGAGTCTAAACTATGTGCACATCATTCATGGGTCCACCGGCGGAGACAGCGTTTAGAAACAACTCAGCAAATATGTATTGACATGTATTATATCTATATACACATATCTATCTATCTATCTATCTATCTATCTATCTATCTACCTATGTATCTATCTACCTATCTATCTATCTATCTATCTTTCTATCTATCTATCTATCTATCTATCCATCTGTCTCTCTGTCTGTCTATCTGTCTGTCTGTCTATCTATCTGTCTATTTGTCTATCCGTCTATCTTTCTTTCTGTCTGTCTTTATGTCTTTCTTTCGTTTTTTCGTTCTTTCTTTATTTATTTATTTCTTATTTATTTCTTTATTTATTTATTTCTATCTTTTTATCTTTCTATCCATCTATCCATCCATCCATCCATCTATCCATCTATCCATCTATCCATCTATCCATCTATCCATCTATCTAATCCAATCTAATCTAATCTAGTCTAGTCTAATCTAATCTAATCTAGTCTAATCTAATCTAATCCATCCATCCATCTATCTATAATACATGTACACGTACTACGCGAATGTGTATAATCAGAACATGCGCAAAGCGTGTGCAAACGCATGGTGCACCAACAGCCATGGATGTTCCTCCAGGCCCCAGGCGTCGTCATCATCTATCCTTCTGAAGAATCTGTGGTCGCTCTCTTTCGGTGTGTAGTACACCTGGACGGTGGATGTTTGGGATGCGATCCGCTCCAGGCCAGAAATCCCCTGGAAGATACATGAAAGGCGTGGGTGAACTTACCCTCAAGGTTGATGGCAGGGTTCTTGTAGCATTTCAAAGCAACTTTGTGGGAAAGAACGAACAGGAGTGATCGATAGTCATCCTAGGTATTTGGGACCCCCAATCGTCTCTGGTCCCCCCCTCCAGCCCAGCGAGGAAGCCTGTGACTTGAAATGGAAATAGAGCCCAGTCTCCGGGTGGAACTTCCATTTTCCCGTCTTCTTATAGACCTCGTGGCGCCGTGGCACAAGCGGCAACCGGAGTTGGTGGTGGGTTAGTGATGGCTTGTGGCTCTACCCGCCTCCAAAAACCAAACCAAAATTTCAGGCAGGCCCCATGGGTTTCATCGAATTGAAATCACCATCCTTCCATGGCTGGACATAAGAAACTCAGCCCCTACCATCACCTTTTTCTTCTCTGCTGGCCTTTCTTCGCTGATGCGGGCCATTTTGGGTCCCCATCTCCGACGTGGAAATTTTGACCCCTGCAGCGCTCTCTGCGCCGCCAAGGTGTCATGGGGCAGCAGTGTCACCATACGATCCAAATACCCAGTTTTGATGACATTCAGTCAATTTCCTAACATCCCAAGCACTGCGCGCGTCAGTTGGGCACGGCACGGATCAGCCCGTTCGGGAGGAACAGCACGTCAAAAACGATCTTGAACTCAGCAGCAGGCTCCACGATTACAAAAATCCCATGGAAACTCGGCAGAAATTTGACGTGGTGAAACACCACAGCCCATCTGCATCTCAAAATTCTCAAAGCCAAAGATCGGCAAAAACAACTAGGATAACTAGGGGTCTAGACGGTCTAACCCCAATCGTTTCTCAATCTGTGAAGCCCTTGGGATCCCAACCACACTGGCAACTGCCAGCAGCTTCAACAGTTCCAAGATGAAGGCCCCAGGGCCGCAGAAGAAATCGATGATGTTCGCCGCCTCGGAGCCCCACGGATGACGTTCGCATTACTGGATTGGAAGCAACACTCCTGGGGATAGCCCAATGTTTGGCCATATGGGGATGGGTCAAAACCCTGGTACCCCTGGTGAACATCAAAATAGCTGGTAAATGGATGTTCATCCCACTAAAAATGGTATTAATAGGTATTGATCCATAGCCATATCCATGGCGAAAATGATGATCAACCATGGGATTTTGGGGGGCCCTTCGGACAAGCTCAGACAAGCCCACATTTCTGACCCAGAAAATGGTGTGGAAGATATTTTAAGTATGTGCGTGGTGAGCCGTCCACAAATGGGCTATAAAAGTTGTTGAAAATGGTTTTAGGAAACAGTAGCCGAGCAGCTGGCACATGATTAACGACCTTGGGATACACATAGAGTCGATGAACAAGAATAGAAAGAAATGGTTTGTGACGTGGGCATCCAACCCCAGAAACAACCGATAGGGGTCACCCAAGATCGTGATAGGGGAGATACCCAATTTTCGCAGGGACGCACCCGATCAAAACATATCAAACTGATCAAGAATGGTTCCAACAAACTTGGGGTTGTCTGAAAATAGGCTACCCCATTCCATCTGTTAATCATCATTGTCCCTTCAATGGCCATGATGGTAAGTATACATCACTTTCAGACACACCCACTCTTGGCCCTCAGGCCCTTTGGTGACCTTTGGAGTCAACCGATGCCAGCTCCACCATGCAGCACAGGCACCACCACGGTTCGTTGGAGTCCAAAGCCCTGTAGCGATGAGGCCTCAGTTTCCACGAAAAATTGTGGGATCTCACGAAACATCACAAGTTTGCTCCTTCCTGTCGTCACCTTGGCTATCGAAGTTCCAACCCCAATTTGCACCGGATAATTGTAAGTCAAAAATAACTTATGACTCGCTCATACAACACGAATCTAGTACAAGCTAAATCAGCAGAAATCAGCCCCATTGGTCACAAATTGTAGCCCTGGGTGCCCCTGCCCTGATGGCCAGCACTCCAGGGTTCTTCCTAACCACCTCCTGCGCCATCTCAACTCCCAGGCCTCTCTTTAGGGCCTGGGACGCTGCCTGGGAACCGTGAAATCAAGCGATATCCCAGTTGGATCTGTATATCTATGTCTATATATATATGTAAATATGTGTGTGTATTATATATATGTATATATATATATATGTCTATTATATATATATATATGTCTATATATAATTTCCATCAAAGGGTGGTAATCAATCACAACTGGTATTGTTTTTACAAACCATAGTATCCAGATCATGTGTGGTTCTACAGAAGTTACTAGCTACTGCCCTTAGGTAAACAAACGTGGCTGGCTGGAAAAAGATCCAGTTCTGGACAATAATCCACAGATCAACAGGCTCTGTGTTGACAATATCAACCCCGGATTGACAAACCATTAGGCTGTTTGCCATTTAAGTAGCAAATCGGCCCCAAGTCAATCAAGCAACCAGGGCTCACCAATCCAGGGCTGACATCACACAGCGGAGCGCCGTCCCGGACGCACCTGCATCACGCGCTCACGCACGCAAACGATGCCCACATTGCGCCGCAAAGCTGCTAAGCCCGCCTCCTAGCCGGAGGCATTTGGATGCGCCAGTGAGGTTCTTGGGGGTCCAGTTGAAAAACAATGGAACATTACTATATATATATATATGTATATGTATATCCTTTATATAAACCAACGAATATGATGTAACATCAACGTTCGATTTCAAGTACCTGGATGACCAAAAAGGCTATGCCAAAACTGGTTGCAGGGATCGCAGGCTGGTCCTCACCGCCGGCTGCTTCGGCAAGCGCCCTGGAAGAGCGGAAAATCGAAGGATTCTTGATATCAATACATTGGTTTAAAACCTTAAGGGAAAAATCATGGGTTATCATTGTCTTTTACCATCAAATGTAGGGGCTTCTTCCTGATCTATGTGCTTCAACACATCTATTTGTGGGACTGTTCAGTTTGTATGGATCCAACCGTGAGGGTAAAATACCAGGAACTACTTTGGTTTTGGTGGGAGCATCGCTATTCTGGCATCTATCATCCCTATCAATATCATAACGGGATTCACAAACACACATATTTATATATATATACATACATATATCATGTATATATCAATGTCAAGATCAAAATCCCTATAAATTTCAATATCTATCATAAAGGGGCAACCCCCAGCAAGATCCCACCTGAAGCGCCGTCGCAGCCCCACTTCGTCGTTGGGCGTGAGGAAGCCCTTGCGCCAGTCCGGCACCTGGTGGCGTATGTGTATATTATTATCTATATATATATATATAATTTATATTGTATATATATAAATATATATATATAAATCACAAAAAGACTAGCTGTGCAAGTCCAAAGGGGAAATCATGGGAAATCCACGGCAGCGACAATTTTTGCGCAATAAGAAGCAACAAATTGCGATTGGAACCGCAGATGGATTGATCCCATTTTGGGGTATCGGACCCACACCCCAAAATGGCCCAGTTGGGTCGTGCGAAGTAAAAAAAAAGAAGGCACTGGGCCTCGCAACCCTGAAAAAATTCTGGGGATTCCACTCAAAACCCCAGAAATCTGGAGATTCAAAACCCCAGTCACGGTTCAAAACTCAGAAATATGGAGATGTTCGGAACCCCGAACCAGTCCCAATTGGATCTGCCCGGCCTTCTCTTCTAGGACTTGAATCGCTTCCACCTCCCGGCCATGGACCCAAAATCAACTGGTTCCAGTTTCAAGATCAGCCTTCACCATCCTTCACCTAAGAGAAAATCCAACAAAAACTGGACGGATTTTCACCGATTTTCACCCACACGAAGTTGGAAGAGAAATTGGGACGTCCAAACATCACAGCCTCCAGCGCAGATGCCGGCAGAAAATCGGCGAAGGCAAAGCCGCTGGAGGCCCATGGCATCTCACCAGTTGAGATAGCCCAGTCATTGGCCAAATAGTCGTAAAACGCCTGGCGCTTGTGGTTTTTCGTCTCTTTTTTTTGCAGTTTTTGATATCCAAGATCGAAAAATCGACTATGTTGATGGGATATCCAAGAATCAACCCCTTTTTCAGGGCGCACTGCGGTCAGTTTCCTTGGGGCAAATGGCCCTGAGAAAATCTCCGTTGCTCTTGTGGGTAGCATAGAGATCATCATGACGCCGGCCCCAAAGTTGCGCAGCCAAAGAAAATCTGCCCACAGCAATCGAAGACGGACGCAATTATGACCTAGCGTCCAAATTAAATATCATTGAATACTAAAATGATCTTCCAGATTCCAACCCCGGAAGTCGTTGCACGTGATGTCGTCCAAGTTGGATGTAGATGTGTCATCCAAAAAATGACCCACCAATCCATGCGTTCGAACCGTTCGAAACCTGCTTCTGTGCAGCCAGTTTGGCCCGCGCCGTTGAAGCGCGGCCCGCTGGTCCCGCGGCAGGCACGAAGGCCTGCGAACGGGATGACCAATCGATGCTCGTCTTTGGACACGGGTATACGTGCACTGTACATGCATAAATACGCATATGCTGTTTATTTATGCATTTATTGTCGTATTTGGTAATCTATCTAATTATTTATGAGTAAATTCAATTAATCAGACATATAGATAAATAGATTGGATAGATTGGGATAAATTGGATAGATAGACAGACAGACAGACAGATAGATAGAAATAGAGACAAGCAGGGAAAGGATGAGGTAGAACAGGGTGGGATGGGACATGATAGGATAGAATAGGAAGGGAAGATAGATAGAAGGATAGACAGGCAGACAGACACACAGAAAGATAGAAAGAAAGAAAGAAAGAAAGATAGATAGATAGATAGGTAGATAGGCAGACATATTGTTGCATATAGACAGAGACGGATCCACATATACAGTAGATAAAGACATATCTAGATATAGATACAGGTGTAGAAATATGGGTGCACATATATTCGTGCATACATATACATATACATACACATATACACATACACATACACATATACATACACATATACATGTACATACATATATACATACACAGTCACATATACATGTACATACACAAATATATACACATAGACACCATACATATACACATATACATATACATATACATGTACACACAAATATACACATATACATATAAAAACACACATATACACATATACATACACATATACACATGCAGATGCACATACACATACATCTAGATATACACATGTATATATAATTACTCTCATCTCTCTATGTAATTCATGTTTATCTGTGCCCCTTCATGGGGGCTTAACCAATGTCTCCTGGACACTTTTGTCACTTCAGCAGGAAACAAAAGCCAACACTGAAGCACGTGTGCAGAAAAAACAAATCCAATCGTCGCCTTCCAACGCATCTAAGCCTAGATGTACTTGGCTGAAATGTATCATCACATATATAACTATATTATATATAATAGTAATAGTAGTAATTGTATTATATATATATATATTCTACTATAATATATATATATATATATACAGTATACGTATATCTACATATATAATATTTGCAAGAGAATGCAGAGCAGCACCTCCAGCTGCAGCACCACCAGAGCACTCAGCGCCAGTCCCAGCCCAGCGGCACGCCGCATGACGGGCCCCCCGGTACTCCACACGGACGCGGGGTCCAAAAAAGGAGTTGTCCAAAGGTCCATAGAGTTCCCAACATTTCATAGATATCCATAGATATCCATAGATATACATAGATATACGTAGATAGATATTCATAAACATTTCAAAACTGGGTCTTTCAGCTTGTTTTCATAGATTCTTCTAAAATGTTGTAGATTCGTGCGAAAAAAAATGGGAAAGTCGCATGAATTGATCGGTGAAACGCTCAAAACTCATTTCAGTAACGCTCGGTGAGTCCAACCTGTGGTCATGGATTTGTAATGGATTAATGGGTTAAACAACCCAAAATTCTTGCAGCAAGCACCTAGCATCTCCGAAAACTGCGGGATACCCTAAACCTCAGGTTTTGATTCTGAGCTTGGCTGCAGCCAGTCGGCTTGATGTGTCAACGCCGCGCGGAGCAGTGCGGAAGCTGATGGCATGTGATGGCGAGATGGGAAAGCCACCGGTAGCTGTTTTTGGGGGGATATCAGGACAAATTGGGCCACAAGAAATGGATCGAAATCATCCGTTTTGATCCATATATTTAAAAAAAAACATATGGGCCATGTCAACAAAAGTTTGGTTTCAAAATCTTTCAAGACCTTTGAGGAAAAAAATCTGAGGCTTCAGCATACCAGCCACTGCCTCGGAAGCGTCCAGTGGACCGGACACAGTGCAGGATCAAGGGATGATTTTACATTACCTACTCGGTGGCTCATAAAGCTCGTAGCTCGTACGGCTCGAGAAACCCTCGTTGGTTTTTCAACACTCAGTTTCCTGGCAAAGTATGAAAGCAAATCAACTTCCCTTACCCTCTGGTAAACTAACATAGCTATGGAAAATCACCATTTTTTATGGGTAAATCCACTATAAATGGCCATTTTCAATAGCTATGTTAGTTTACCAGAGGGTACTGGTTTTCCTAACTCAATGTTGCATTCCAAAGACCAGGTGCCTCCCCTGAAACAACTGACCCACCGAGCTTCAGCCTTTCAAACACTTTCTGGTTTAAAAAAAAAAAACTCGGCACTTTGAAGTTCCTCCACCCCATGAGTGGGCCAAAACTCTACAAAAAAAACACCTCGTGACACGTCGTCACTGTGCATCCAGGCCATCCCCTGCGGGCTCATAATCCTCGAACTGCGTGGGCGGCACGCGCTCCGGGGAGCGCGACCTGGGCGTCTGAGGGCCCCAGGGCCGGGCTGGAGAAGGACCTGGTTATGCTACGACCTTAAAAAATGGTACGCTGGATCCAGGGAAAGAAAAAGATGCTACGCTTTTTGGCACGTAAATCATCTACAAACGATGCATTTTTCATTGCCAGCTTCGTTCGCTGGAGAGCGTAGTAGACTTTGGGAAAATCAAAATTGCAGGAGAGGCAACAATAATTCAAGGCTCATGTCACACAGGCGCAGAATGGCAATTCTTTTTACAGCAAGTACCCTGGCAATTGTTTATAGATGATTTACCAGTGGACAATACAATAGGCATGAATTTCAATCAATGTTTCATTGCCATGTTACTGGAGAATGTGTTTTATCATTGCTATCCCCTGCTTTCCATATTGGTCAAATGCCATATTCATACCATGGCTTTATCCAAGCCATCAATCATTTCATCCATTCAACAAAACTGCATTGGAACCATCCAATTATGTCCATTAACATCTCAATAACCCAATTTTACAGTATGTCAATGTCCCAACAATATCCCCCAATTTTCCTTTGCTTCAACCAGCACAAAAATCCAACTTCTGGACTTTCCCCGCGGCTGCTGCGGTCTGCGCTTCGCGGGCCGCGAGGGAGACCTGGCCCACATGGGTAGCTTCCCGGTACAAAATGGAATACTCATAGGATATTGATGGGTTTTTGATAAGATATTCATAATCAAAATATATCAAAATATGATGGAAATCACTATTCTATTGATATCCCATTGTTCCAATAATATAAGAATGGGATATTGATGGGATATTTTCATGGGATAATCTATCATGGGAAATTACGGGAAATTATAGGATATTATGGGATATGTTACTGTTTCAAATGTTAGTGTTTCAAATAAATGAAAAAATCCTTTTTCGGTGGCTTGTTGGGGTGACAATCGCCAGAATGGTCATGCATTGGGCAACCTGCAACTGGGGGACACCAAAACCTACCCAAAATTTAGCGTAGGCTAAGGCAGCCGATCGCATGTTGGATGATTTTTCGCATCATCGGAAACGTGGATGAATTTCTGCAAACGCTGCGAGGCCTTGTCAATATCTGTCAATTCCCATCCTTTGATGTTCTCAAATGTTCCTACTTGTACCTCAAATTGCTCAAATCCTGAATTAGCACGAAGTTCATGTTGTCACTTGTCATGAGTCAATACCATCCACAAAAAGAGGACCAAAGAAAAAAACTGGTTGGTGGTTAAGCCACCTCTCCCCCAACTATGAAAGTCAAATGAGATCGCTATCCCAATCTTTGCGGAACTAAGTGAAAACCATCGGAAATAACCACCGTTGTTGCTTGTTATGACCCATCACCTTGCTGTTTCCATGCTGGTTGTATCCCCATTTTTGCAGGATCTTTAGGTTTGGGGCGGGTGGTTTAATAGCAAGAACGGCTGCTTCTGTGGGTCTGTTGGTACCCCAATTTGGAGCCAACACCATTCAGGCTTGTCAAAACATATTTGTGCCCGAAAATCGCATACAGGTTTTCATCAGCTTCATGATTAAGATTTCTATTTTCGGGCTATTCCACATTTTCAGACGATCCATGAACATGATATTGTTTCTTATATATTCCATAGTTATCCACATTAAGTGGATGGTTATCAACCAGCATTTTTCTTGCTTCAACCCAGCTCAAAACCCCTAACAAAAATAGCCGTCACCTCGACAACTCTTCTTCGAAGTCCGAGAGATTCCTGAAAAAAAAAAGCTCTGCCAGCGGTCCATGGAAACGATGGTCCTTCCAAGAACATTTCGTAGAGGGGTTTGACCATCCCAAAAAAATGATCTATATGGATCTGTCTGAAAATTGGGCTACCCAAAAATTGATAGTTTGGGGAAGGAAATGATGATGAACCATCAAATTTGGGGGTACATTATTTTCAGACAAACCCATATGACATGATTCGGCCATGTTCGAATTTATGACATGATTTTATCCTTAAATTCCCCCCAGAAGACCCCCAAAATGAATAGATCTAACACTAAAGCTGGGTTTCGTTTGGGGGCATTTAAAATCGTAGGGATTTTATAGTGAAAGGCAAACCAAACCAAACCCTTTAGGGCCCCAGGAAGGGAATTGCTGCTGATACCCCACAAATCCTACCACCAACCCAACCCAATAAGGCAACCATAGGTTGTGCATGCCAAACCTTCAGACCCTGCCCGAGTATGCTCATTGGGTCACCGTGCTTCTGCTCAGATTCCGACCTCCGCACCAGGAAGAAGCACGAAATCAAACCACATCTTTGCGTAAATCCACTCGTATACCGTTTGTTTTCTCAATTTGGCTCTTATCTGTGTATGAAAGATATTGAAAGATGTCAGCAACATGTTCGTCCATTGTGTTGTCATTTGTGATAGCAACCCCCACAAAGATGTGGTGGTATGCCACTACTATCCATTAACCACATTGAGTTAATTAATATCATTCAAACCAGTTTTTTATATTAATATCACCTTTTCAGCCCCTGCCTGGGCGGTGAGGGTGTTGGAGCCCGGCGCACAGCCTTCTCCTCAACGCCATGAAAAAAGGAAAACGGGGCGAAAACGGTCGACTTTCAATGATGGATTCATGTGTGTTTCATCGGAAAAAATGGTGCGTTTTCATATCGTTTTGTGAAAAAAAAAATATGAAATCTAAAACTGAGAACATCTGATAACTATCCAGACGTATCCAGACGTTTATATAGAAGTAAAATGATTTAGTGTACATTGGCTCAAAAAGTGCGTGTGGTACCCCCAACTGAGGATTTCTCTAAGACCAGGCCGCAATCGATATGCCGGCTTCAATAGGATGGTGCTTCAAGAAGCATTGGAGTATTCTCCATGTATATATATATATATACACATTATACCTCCCCCCATGGTGTGGTGGGGGTGTGGTACTGTCCTCCCTCCTGCCTGTGGTGTGGTGGGGGTGTTGTACTGCGTGTATATATATATAGAGAGAGAGAGAGAGATATATATATATACATATTTATATATATATATATACATGTGTATATATATATGTATATGTATATGTATATGTATATGTATACTATATGTATATGTATATGTATATGTATATGTATATACATATGTATGTATATATATGTATGTATGTATGTATGTATGTATGTATGTATGTATGTATGTATGTATGTATGTATGTATGTATGTATGTATGTATGTATGTATGTATGTATGTATGTATGTATGTATGTATGTATGTATGTATGTATGTATGTATGTATGTATGTATGTATGTATGTATGTATGTATGTATGTATGTATGTATGAAGTAGATACATAGAACATGTATATATGACTATAGGTAGCACGTGGGTACTTTGAGGGAGTAGGTTTGCTACGTAGGTCGTCTAAAAGGTAGCATGTACCTAGTAAATGCGAGGCTGGTTGTCAGAAATGCTGCAAAGACCTAGCAAATACGAGGCTGGACGGGTGCTACCTGGGGACCCATATCATTGGGGGGGTAGGAACACGGAACACGAGACCATATATATATATACACATATAATTATACATACTTAATATATTTGCCTCAACGGATATATAAGTGGATATAAGTGGAGTGAGTAAAGTATCCCAGGAAATCTTAGAGAAGGAAATCACTCTTACCATCCAATCAGCTCGCAAATCTTGGATCAGTCATTTGTGGCACGACAGCGAAATTGACGCTAAATCACCTATCATCACTGTAATATCATAGAGTATATCACTTTTTCCCCACATATTGTTATCACATGATATCCAGCATTTTTGGCACCCGGTTCAACCATAAGAAACACGTCAAGTCATCAAGCTGCAGTTGACCGCCAATTTCAACTACAAGGATCCGTCTGAGAGTCTGTACCAAACTGCACAGCAAAACTCTCCCATTAGAAAAAAAAAAAACACTGTGGCAACATTCCCATGCTGCTCGCAAGGGATGCTTCATGAACAAACACCCGTTTTGTAAAAAGGAACCGTGTTTGGAAGGTTGCCACTGCAAGACCCTGCCTTGAGACTGGCAGACAATCTGGAGCTACTTGTCTCCGGCTCCTGAAACCCGATCTCCCATCCTGCATCCTTCTCGGAGGTTGCCGACGTTCTACCAAGAACCCCAAGGTGGCTGGTGTGGGTTCCAAGATGAAAAACATGTCTGCCAGGCCGTACAATCCTGTACATTGTACATGGCAAGGCCAGAGAAACAAGTTTTCTTGACTCTCTTTGCTTCAAAGGTGTGCCAGCAAACTCAATTTGGGTATGGGCCATGAAGCTATCAAGTTCGAAATGATTAGATCCTTTAGCCCAACATCTGGTGGTTTGTGCATCTTTGGACCCATCCACAGTTGAGTTCTGCCGGTTGTTGTCGTAATCACCTGATCAGCTCAACAAGGCGAAGGGCACGGCCGCATGGATCATATCTGGGAACCGCAGTATCAAGCAGTCCCAAGTGTCCCGCGGACCATCCTCAGGTGGGCAGTCCTACCGGCCAGGTGCTTAGAACTCATGCTATATGCACCCAGAAAACAAAGTTACAATTCCTTCAAAGATTTTTACGAAGCAGGCCTGAGTTGATTGGGCCTAAAGCGGTCCCGGAAAGGTGGGAAGTTTCGTCGTGTGGTCCGGACGTTGATATCTCGGACAAGCTGCAGCTGTGCTTTCACCTGTGCCTGGTTTATCCAACCTATCATCCCCTTGCTGCCATAGCTGCTACGGGTTCGTTCCTGCGTCCCCATATGAGTGCCTCAAAATGATTCAAACTCGGGAATACCCCCAAATGGTCCATGTTCAAGAGGAAATCATGATAAGCCGTGGGATTGTGGGATGCCAAATTTTGAGACATCCAAAATAATCTACATGACCCGACAATTCAGAATGAAAACTATGGAGACCCACTACAAAGGAAAATCGTTTGAAGAATTATGAAATGATATGACATGGCTGTTTTTTCATTCACCTGACAACAATGTACCTTGGTTTCCCCATCCCTAAAAATGAACAGAATTGTTGATCTTGAAAAGGATTCATTTCGTCTGTGTTTCTTTGCAAATGGAAATTATTTTGCCCTGTACATCCAGGAGTCAAAATCGTGTATCTAGATTATCATAAATTAGATACTTCGCACATCTTCGCACCAAAATGGCTGGTTCATAGTATTAGTAACTCATAGTATAAAGGACCCATATTGACACGTCCGCTTTTCTTGTGCTGTTGGATACACCTGTAATTCCCCTGTTCGAGATATCAACTGGGACCCGCCAAGGTCGTGAGATCCTAAGGATCTCGCCTGGCCGATATTATCAGGCGCTTGTTTGTCTCACTTGGATCAGGGAAATGGGATCAATCCGTAGATTCCACACAAAAAAAACATGTTTTCGAGGATATCCTCCAGATGAAAAAAACAACAAGTCGACCCCAATGCGAAGCAAGTCTAAAGCAGAAGCGCCCTCAGGAAGGAGGCATGGGAGGAATGGGCTCCCTTTGGGACTGGGTCAAACATGTCATCTTTTGGGTGCTTTTCCAAAGAATGTCTTGGTTATGAATAGTTCAGACTGAAAAAGAATGCATAAGAATTGTCCCATTGGCCCATTGACCACAAATTTTGACTCTGCCCTTAAAGCAACGTCCTCATGGATCGATAAAGTCCTCATGCATCGCTTGTAAAACGAAGCGTTGGAAGTCTGGACTCCTACCAAGGACTTTGCACCAGGGTTCATGTGGGAAAGGAGCGTCCAAAAGAGGTTGCCAATGGATTGATTCAAGGGAAAATCTAGGGGAAAGCATGGCCTTACCCCAAATATGGTCTTTATCATTTTTTCGTTTCAACGCCGCTTGGTCAGGATCATCCAAAACAAGATCTAAAATTCCTGAAACCCCCAAGAAAAATGGTTGAAGACTGCCACAATCGTCCCAGGACAGGACTGACATCGCGCCTTGGTCAGCCGGCCTCGTGGATGTTTGGTTGGAGCCAAACCACAGCCATAGCCACAAGTCTTTGGCTCCTCGGCACGGCTCACGTACCAAGAACATTGGCATGGCTCTCAGTCCCAAAAAGATCGGTTGCCGGATTGTCAACAAATGAAGGTTTACTAATTTCGATGTCCAACTTGTTCATCTATTGAAAGTTCCTATGTTAAGTTGCTTGGACTACGGACCATTCCAGTAACAGGGTGCCACATCTTTTTTGGGACTTCTTTCCATCCTTTGTAACATGGTACATGTCTCAAAATATGTGATCATCAGATTGCCCACTAAAATGGACCAGTCATTGGTGAATTGTCGATGTTTTGTGCTTCAATCCCCATGTTGGATATACTGCTTCAATCCCCCTTTCTGTTGAGACAAGCACACATCACATGTATATATATATATATATACTGTATGTGTATGTATGTATATATATATATGTGTGTGTGTGTACATACAGGTATCCCAGAATATGTCCACACATTTCCCCTTATCTCCTTAACTATCCCCGCTCCAGTTGCCCCCCTCATCGCGCCTCCCTCTCATTGAGTCCCGGAAGCTGTGGAATTTCGGAAGTTTCAAGCTCGAGGTCATGGCCTCCGACGGAAGATTATGAAGATTATGGAGATTAGAGGTAGAGATGCATAGTATACTATATATGCATATATATAATCTGTACATGCATAAATATACTGTGTATATATATACACACATTTGTGTACATGTGGCCCAGTGTCTGCAGGCGTACAATCATCGGTTGGGTTTTTGAACACTGCTCACGGATCATGACGTACCTATGGTGAATAAATACAGGGTGTGAATATGCAAAATATGTTTGATTCTATGTGAACATGTATGAGTAATCATGAGTATGTATCTCATTGGATGCAGCGTTGGAGCCGTTGAACTGCCGGGTCCAGAGAAAAGAAAAAAATGGGGAAATGTTTGCTGATGGCTGAGGGGATGGGCCATGGCTATGTTCGCTTTTGATGCTTTGATGGATGACAAAAACAACTTATGGACAGCACAAATTAGGGCCCACTCGGGTATGAATTCCTGGGCTCCCCTTGCGCCCGTGACAACGGATCCAGCCACCCAGACTGACCGGAGATGTCCCTTCCAAATGGCCCGACTGACCACTACGCAGACTCTGTAGATATATATATATATATATAGAGATATATAGATATAGATATATATATAATATATATATATATATATGTTCACCAGCATAGCTTTGGCAAAGACCCTTATAGTTGAATCAGGTTGAACCCATCCGATGCCAAGTACCCCAACGTAGCATCTCCAACTCACAAAGAGAAAGGGTTGTGCTCTTTCGAAAGTATCCTTGCCAGGTGCCAGGCAATGCTCGACTTTTGACGGGTCGGTTGCTTCTCGGTGACTCCGAAGGAATCGGGGCATAGGAAAACGTGCATAGCACCCAGGCATCCTTCGCGAATTTACCTATGAAACATGACTGAACAGAAATGTCTAATAACCAAATCATCTGGCAATTGAGCCAAATTGGTAGGTTTCCCATCTCTAACCTGTGCTGCTAGATTTCTTCCA